CTCTCTTCAGGTTTTCTTGACCAGATGTCTATTTTCAGTCACTGTGTGTAGCCACTAATAACCCTTCCCTCGGGTGACTGAGGAAGCATGGTGGCCTGGTTAATTTATTTTACCTCCCCATTTTCCCACAAGTAGACCAGGAATTGTTGCCAATTAGTCAAGAAGTATTTGCTAAGTGCCCGCAGAGTGAAAGTGGTGTACTACATTGGACCTTTTGGTCAATTCATCCTGAGAAAACTCAAAAGAGATTTAACACAGAAACACCCAGCTTCCCGGTGTCTAGATTCCTAGACCTTCAGGCACCTAGAACAATTCCAGTAGTGGAATTGCCAGAAAAAATGACCAAATATCTCTTTTGATGTAGTACTGAATTTTCAGTAACTAAGAGACAGGAAAAGGGAGCCGAAGTCCAGATAGTCTGTGATGGATCAGTTTGTTACTCATAAGAAAAAGAGGATTCTGATTGGATTCCAAGGGTAATAAAAGACCATTCTATGCCTCTCACTAACACTTTTTATAATAGTATCAAGCAGGAAGCAGAAAAAGCAAAAAAAAAAAAAAAACAGAAAATCTGAGAGGGCCTCCCAAAAGTTCATGGAAATGCATATTATGAAGAAACAGTGCATAAAATTCAATTTTTTTGCATTAAAATAAATGATACCTTGGGGTCGGCAGGTGGCATGGTGATTAAGGTCACTAGACTCCCACATGGCCAACTGAAGTTCATGTCTTGGACCTGGAAGCTTGCTTTCTCACTTTCTCTTTTTCTCTCTCTGTCCCTCTCTGGTCAAATTTAAAATACAAAAAAGGAAAAAAAGTAAATAAATAAATAAAGTTAAGTAAAATAATTTTAAAATATAAATTATACCTTAATTCCATTTTTCCACACACTTTGGAAGTCTCATTGTACAGAGAGAAGAAAGGAAGAGGAGGTGGACTTTCTCACTACCCCCCCCCATTTGGCTGGATAATAATTTGAAGTTACAAATATTTGTATTTCTCCTCCTTGTATTTGTTCATTTCTCTTTGCACTGACTATGAAATTAGCCAGCTCTGTGGGTTACTTCTTCAGAGAAGAGCAGAGAGCAGAGGAAACTGGCAAAACTCTGCATTTCTTTCTAAGAAAATATTCTTTTGGCAGCTATGGTTTCAAACATGATGCAGAGTAAAACTCTTCCCCCAAACAAAATAGCACTTTCCCAAGCACACTCGTGTGTTTCCTGGAGGAAAGGGTCTATAGTTCCCAAGAAAGGGGGACCAAGGGCGCTTCTCCAAGATCGAAGCCATAAGAAAGAGGAGGACTACAGGTACTGGTTTTCTGGTCTTACCAAAGATCACCAAATCCTAAGCTTAGCACAAAAATATAGTACTGCCATATACCAGGTGCCAATGTGGGATTGCACATAGAGGATATCAAAGATACTCATGAGGTCCTGGAGGCTGGTGGTTCATATTGCCTCCCCCATTTTCCAGACAACAAGCAAGCCTTCACAGTTCTGGCATGAGTGGTTCTGATAATTATTGGCTTGAAATTCATTATCAGCCAGGCAGAGAAGCTTGAAGTCAGAAACAAAAGTGACTTATTGAAAATAAAGTGGTATTTTTTGCATACATGAGTTTAGAGAATATGATTCAAACCTTCTGCACACACAACAATTCTAGGTAATAAATAATATTATTTCTACATTATAAATTAGAAAACCTACATGAGAAGTTATCATGCATAATAACTTGCACAGGTTATGCCATTAATAAGTGATGAATCTGGGGTTTGAATACAAGAGAAAGGGTAGCAGAGGCCGACAGCTCACTGATTGGAGGCGAGGTGGGAGTGGAATACTGAGCATTTCTTCAAGAAATAGCAAAAAGTGAAGGTAAAGAAACCCAATGTGCTAAAGTAAAAAAGAAGCTACAAACATTAGAAAGAAAAATCCCAGTTGGTAATCAGAAGCCTTTAAGGGCATATGTTAGCTAGGCTGAAGACAGTAGCAGTGGTTCTCAAATGACACAATGACAGCATCATACTGAGAAATTCAGTTAGAATCTGGCTTCATTAGCAAATTGAGACCAATAGATAAATGCAAGCTAACAGAAAGCTGCATTATATTTTTTTAAGGTGCTGCAACTCAGAGACCATTGATAGCAATGACAAAGGAAAACAGTGATTTCTATAGGATGAAAAATAAAACTTAATTGGAGGTTGCTTCAGCTTTGACTTACTAATTTTGTAGCAAGATCTTCTATAATGTACTGATGACGCTTCACTAACC